TTTACATAGCTCCTCTCAGGGGCTACAGCAGACACAACACAGAGGAGCCGCCTGCCCAACACTCTCCAGACCCCAGAGAAGGCCAGGAGTGGCCCACACCCTCGGTCATGGCAGGCCCGCCCGGCCCCCAGGGTGGGGCTGGGACAGGAAGCCCCCATGCAGGCCAGGGCACCCTGCTCCGGCTCAGCTGCCCTCCCTGGAGCCACGGAGGGAAAGCGCTGCTGGGCTCGGACGCAGCCCCCGAGCCCTACTCCCGACCACCATCATGCAGGTGTGCGCACCTGCCGGACTCCAAGCTGCCCTGGGTCCTGACCAGAAGGCCCGAGGTGGAGGGGGCCCCTCGGTGGCTTCCCCACAGCCCCGAAGTAAAGTACTACCTGTGTCTAACCTCATTCCTCCAGGGCTCACCCAGAAGAGAATTTTTTTTTTTTTTTTTTTTTTGAGAATGTCTTTTTAAAGAAAAAGGTTCGTTCTCCACCCAAGCGAAAGGTTCCCAAATAGAGGCATTTCAAGCACCCTCGGGGAAGATGTTTAATTGTGAAAGGACTTTCCTGGACCCCCTGAAGTCCCACCCCCCTGGAAGCCACCACTGGGCAGAAAAGAGGCTGAGGCTCACCCGGTCTCACACCCCCATGCTGGCCCCCCTGCTGCCCACGGCCCCCCTCCCCAGAGCCCAAGGACACCATCAAAATCTGCTCCCATCCCAGACACCTCTGCACAAATATTTACATAGCTCCTCTCAGGGGCTACAGCAGACACAACACAGAGGAGCCGCCTGCCCAACACTCTCCAGACCCCAGAGAAGGCCAGGAGTGGCCCACACCCTCGGTCATGGCAGGCCCGCCCGGCCCCCAGGGTGGGGCTGGGACAGGAAGCCCCCATGCAGGCCAGGGCACCCTGCTCCGGCTCAGCTGCCCTCCCTGGAGCCACGGAGGGAAAGCGCTGCTGGGCTCGGACGCAGCCCCCGAGCCCTACTCCCGACCACCATCATGCAGGTGTGCGCACCTGCCGGACTCCAAGCTGCCCTGGGTCCTGACCAGAAGGCCCGAGGTGGAGGGGGCCCCTCGGTGGCTTCCCCACAGCCCCGAAGTAAAGTACTACCTGTGTCTAACCTCATTCCTCCAGGGCTCACCCCGGCCTGCTCCATCTCAAGGACACAGAGCACACCCAGGTACCAGCCTCCATTTGACCTGCCTGCCAGCGTCAAAATACCCAAGGCCTCCTTCAGCAGCCACCCTGACCTGAGGATCACAGCTTGGAGGGGACAGGGCTGGGAGGGGAGAAGTGGGTATCTGAGCTTGGGGCCATGATGGAGAAGGGGGTGGTGTGGGAGGGTCACAGTGCAGAGTCAGATTTCAGCGACCAGGGAAGAGGCAGTGAAATGGCCTGGGGTGTGTGGAGAGTCACTGGTGCCAGGAGTACCTGTGCAATCACCTGGGAGGCTGAGGTCCGAGTCTGGGGACCACAGACCAGTGGGTGTGGGGTCACCTCTGGGGCTCTGGCTCCCCATGGGCTCGGGGGAGCACGCTGGCCCTCTGTCCCCACCCCTCCCCCAGCCCACAGCTCAGCTGTTGCAGCGGGGGGGCCCTCTGACCCTGTTACCATGACAACCGGCCTGCAGCTGGAGTGGAGAAGCCAACAGACTCTTCTCTAGAGACACCCCCATCCCCACCCACGCACAGGCTCCCAGGGACACAGGGACATGGAGACCAGGCCAGGACAGGCAGAGGTACGGGGAGCCAGACAGAGACTCGGAGATGTAGCCCAGAGAGGCGGGGGCCACCGAGGCAGAGAGAGAGAGGCAGGGAGGGAGCCTCGGGGGTACTGAAGGGGGGCAAGAAGAGAGACAGCTGCAGGGAGAGGGAGATACAGACCGCGGGGGACACGGCCGGCAGGGAGCCCTGAAGCAGAGACCACGGGCACAGGCAGCCGCTGAGCATGGCAGGGGCGGGGCAGAGAGGCGGGAACAAAGAGCAGAGAGGACACAAGGGCCAGAGTGCAGGGGACCTCCCCGAGGCCTGGCAGAGGAGGGGAGCATGTGAGGAGAAGCCGTGGTGGAAGGGCCCGAAGCCTCCCCAGGGCAACGTGGGAATGCAGGTGTGCACCAGCATCACTTGCTGCCGAGGCGCGGCCCAGAGCCCCAAGGGGATGCCACCACCTGCCAGCCCCAGGCTGCTGGGCCCTGATCCCAGCTGCACCTTAATCCCAGGCCTGACCTGAAGGAGCATGGACACAGGACCAGTGAGGGCCTGGCACCTCGTGTCTCTCCCTCCAGCCCACACCCCCCAGTCTGGCCTCCCCACCTCCCAGCAGTCCCAGCAGCTAAATAATGGGGCTGTCTGGCTCCAGGCCCTGAGGCTGCACAGAGCTAGGCTAGAGGCACCGACACAGCACAGCTGTCCATGGTGGTGCCTGCCAGCAAAAGGCCCCGCCTCCTTCCCAGCCACCCACCTCCCTGGGGCTAAAGCCCAGGGACCTGCTCTGCCCTGGCTGGTCCAGGCAAAGACCCTGAGAAAGGCCTGGACAGAAACAAGAGGTGGCACTGGCCTTCCTCACATCTACCTCCCTCCTCTGTCCACGCACAAGGCTGTGAGCCTGTGAGCTCATGCGTGCGCGCGCGCACACACACACACACCGCACACACACACACACCCCGCCCGGGTCAGGCACAGAGATCTGCCCGAGGGACTGAGCAGAGGGAGAGGGAGGGGAGGCAGAGGAAATCTGTCTGCACCCGAGGCCTCAAGTGCCAGGATAAGCAGCGGCCCACATAACCTGAGGGCCAAGGTCAGCCTGTTGGCCACCAGGAGACACCTGATCCCCATGGAAACTAGGTGAGAGCAGAGAAGGGGGCAGGCCGAGATGGCTGGCATAGGACCTTCTGGGTCACAGCACCATTTGGAGCAGTAACCTGGGGTGAGGAAAGAGCTTGAACTTGGGTTCTAGTCCCACACTCCCTCCACTGATTCGCTGGTAACTTGACCTCTGCTTCTCAGTTTTTCCATCTGTAACTTGAGTGGGCTGGATTAAGTGATCCTCAAGGTCACCAAGATTCCATGATAGCACCTCTGCAGAAGGGGTCCCACGGCCATCCTCTCCCAAAGGAGCCAGCCTGGGGCAGGAAGGAGGGAGGGCAGCTCCTCACACACACTACAGGGAAGACAGAATCACCCAGGCCCCTGCCGCCGAGGGGTCCGGCGGGCACACTATCCCAGAAGTAGAAACGGGCTCAAGGCAGTAACCAACTTGATCCGTATCACAGAATTTCTGGTGTTAGACCTGAACCCAGGACGTGTGTATTCACATTCTTCTCATGACACCAACTGTTTGCGAACTTTCAGAATAAAAGTGTGCATAAAGTAACGTGCAGTTTAGAGATATACCTGTAACCATTTTGCCTCCTTTTTAATACATGACAGCAGAGCAGAGTGGACAGGGCTCTGATCGGACAGACATGGTTCCATTCCCAGCTCTGCACACTCTAGGGAAGTTTCTTAATTTTCCTGAACTTCAGTTTCCTCATCCACAAAATGTAGAAAAAATAGTATCTACCTCCCAGGGTGGTTGTGAAGATTTCATGAGATGATGCAAGTGAAACATTCGGCCCAGTGTCCAGCGCATAGAAGGCGCCCATTGATATTAGCTAGTACTAGATAGCCAGGCAGATATAAAAGCATCTGCTCTGATGAAGGTTCTGGCGGGATGTCAGTGAAGAACCAGAAAGGAGGCCCTGCCTTCAGAGTTTGCATCTAATCTCCCAGCCAGAGGCCCATTTGCTGTGAGCAAACCCTTTTCCACAGGTCCCCAGTGACTGTCCCCCACTCTGATTCTGTCCAGGGAGCTCACAGCTGGGCACCCCTGCAAAAGCAGCGTCATCAGGGCATGTAATCCTTTGCAGCCAACCCTGAGCATAGCATACAGGGGAGGTTCCAAGGGACAGGGCCAGAGGCATACGGGGGCTGCTGGCTCACTGCCCCCAGGAAGAGACAGAGAGCGCTGTCTACAGCAGGTAAGCTCGCTGTGGGCAGGAACCTCCTCTGTCTTGAACACTGCTCCATCTCCAAGACCTTGCTGCACCTGGCTCACAGGGGTTCAGTAAATGCTCATCAGATACACACTGGTGAGCGACAGGGTTTGGGCACTGGTGGGCAGCCCTGCGGCACCTTCCAGAGCCCCCTCCCCAGCCGCCTGATACCTGCAGGTCCCCCCAAGCCCTGCGGCACTGCCCTCCCTGAGCAAAGGCCACCCCACCAGGGCAGGGGCGGTGTGGGAGCAGCCCCACCCAGGGCTCTGTTTATCCGCTCTCCGCTCTCTGCTCTCCGCTCTCCGGAAGACAGCGCAGCTGGGCGGGGAGGCAGTGGCTGAGCAGAGACACCTGGCGCAGGAAGGGGTGGCGCTCAAAAGATGGGACTAAGGGAACTGAGGTTGTGGGGAGAGGCACACACCTCCCGCCAGGTGCAGCTGAAGGGCAGAAGAGAGGGGGCAGGAGAGGGGCGGCAGAGAGCCAGCCAGAGTCCTGCAGCCCTTCCCCGCCTCGCCCTCAGTGACAACTCCCCAGACCAGTCGGTCACCTGGCAGAGGCGAGGGTAGCTAGAGGCCTGTGGGCGGAGGTCGGCGCCCAGCCACCGGCCTGGACTTCCATTACCTCCATCCATGCACGCACCTGCCATCCCGGTGCTGCCGTCACACTCCAACCCACCTAGCTCAACGTGCCCACATCTGCCCAGGGAGGAAGGAACCAGAGACTCCAGACCACAATCAAGCAGCCCCTTGGGCACCCCGTAAACCATCCCACCAGAGTGCTTGGGGTAAAGAGACCCGGACCGCCGTACAGCCCCAATATCCAGCCCGCGCCTCCCACCTGGCGCACCCCAAAGGCCCCTGCTGAGGTCACGCGCCGCTGCAACAGGCCGGGGCTCCGGCCAATCGCCGGCCGCCCCC